CCGCCTCGGCAGCCCCGTGCCGGGGACCGCGCTGAGCGCGGCGGGACCTTTAGCCGCGATCTTGAGAGCGGCTTTTTCCACTGCCTCATAACCGCCCGTCCGCGCTGGGAGCGCAGCGGGCTGGCCAGGGCCCTCGCCCGGCTCTTCGGCGCGTTTCTTCGTAACTCGCTGCCCTGCAAAGCCCCTGTATCTGTTGCCCGCTTCAGCGGTAAGGGCGTGTGACAGCTGTCAAAGGCTTTCTTAGCCAGGGCCGGGGGGGAATCGGGTAGGCAAATGTACTGCCTTGGTGTGCACGAGGTAGGTTCATCAGTAAGACAGCTGGGAGGTGAGGTACTGAGTGCTACTGCCCAAAAAGCCTCTGTGCATGGTTGCATTGAGGCACTGTATTGGTGGGGGTGCCTGACTTGCCTGGAGCGCTGGGGATCCTGTCACTGGCATAGAGAGCTGTACTAGGAAGGAAAGGGCAGGTAAAGCATCTGTACTGCGCTGGATTGCCTATGCAAAGCTGAAGGTTGTGTTTTACCAGCTGTAGAAGTGTTTAGTGTTTTTTTGTTTTGTTTTGTTTTTTTTAAAAAGTCTGTAATTGACACCGAGCATGAACACTACTAGCAGATGCCAGTTACAGTGAGAAGACTATTGTCTGGTTCGTCCAGTTTACTAGAAAGGTAAACTTCAGGTGTTGTCCAGTAAGGGCATGTTACTTTGCTAGGGTTTTCTTTTGACACTAACCCTTGAAAGCCCTGTTATTAAAGCCCTGCAGGGACATAATTCATTTTCAGGGAGAAGTTTAATTTAAAACTTTCTGCTGGCTATTACAACCCAAGCTGGGGGGGGCGGAGAAGAACTAACGAAAAACAGTAGGAAAAAATCTATTTCTTGTTAGTTGAAGGTTGTCAAATGAAGAGAAAAACAGACTAAATTTTCATATTGTGGACACAATACCAGAAGGCATTCTTTGATTTATAAAATTGATGGTGTTTTTGTGGTGTCCTTAAGTAGTTATTTTTAATTAGTCTTTATTTAGTTGTCATTCAGTAATGACCAGAAGTCTCCAGTGTGCTGAAATGTTGTCTAAGCAAATGGCTAAGGAAGTGGCTTAAACCACTTAAATTGAAAGATCATTCTGTTAATATACGAAACAATACCTATAGATGTATTTTTGTATCTTTAAACTGCTTAATTAGATGAAGCTAGTAGGTCGTGAATTAGCCTGCTCGCGTTTCTTTTTCTTGGTTTTGTTTTGTTATCATCTTTTGTTGTAGCATTCTGAATTCATTATTCTCATTTTGTTCATGAAATGCCAATGAAATAAAGCTGTAGACATAAACTGCCACTGTTTAAAAAGCAATGAAGTTAATGATAGAAATGAATGAACCAAAGTCCAGAGAAGCAGACAGGGAGACTAGTAAACTTTTTCAAGATAGGACCACTCACTCGCTAGTTTAGACATAAACATAGACATACACATAGACATACATGTGTATGTAACAGACTTGGCCAAAATGAATTGTTTTTAAAGCAGTATTTGTTTATTTTTCAGAAAATATTTTATCACAGATGTTATGGTGAGACTGTATGTATACTAGACTACACTTATTTTAAAAGGCATGTTATGATTTTTAATTTAATATTTTTTCCAGTGTTTCTTAGATACTATTTTTTTAAATAATGACTTTATGAAAACAGTACATTACTGAAACGTTATGGCATTGGTTTTCATGATATGAAATTCTGAGGACTTTCTTATTTTCAGGCTTTGAAGTATACAAGCCGTGGCTATGCATCACAGCGCACTTTAAATGTAAGTATAAAGCACCATCAGACTGCAATAAATCACTGTTTTAAATTTGTTTCTTAATCACTGAAGTTTTTTAAAAAGTTACCACAAAAAATCTGTGTTGAAGCCAATGTGACTTGTGCCCAAGTCACACCTTACTGCAAAATCTGGAATAAAAGTCAGATTTCCTTTTTTGTTTTGCTTTGCTAATTGTTAGGTAGTGTGGGACGAAATTAGTTAGGAATGTGTCAGCTAACTTAAGCTCAATGCAACTATCTACCCGTTACTGGAAAATACAGCTGATACCAGCTAATCCCTTTGAGGTTATTTGTATGTTATCCTGCAACTTGCTGTTAGAACGTAAAAGATGGGGACAAGTATGTTACTATCACTGAAGTCAATCATGATGAAGAGTGGGTTACAGAAACAGACAGACCTTCTTAGTTTTAAACAAGTATAATTTGTCTTTTTTTGTTTAATTTTTTCTAGTGTTTTCTTTCTTTGCTTGTCTCTCTAAATAAAGAACTCGTGGTGAGACCCTGTAAAGCTTTGTGTCTAACTTCCACTGAAGCCAGCACAGTTGGAGGTATTCATTGCTTCTTCTCAATAGCTCTCTGGGGCAGCCACTGGTCTGAAATGTGCATCTTTTTGGTGCCAGGTCCTCATGCTACTCTCACAGGGTTAGCAGGTAGATATGTCGATGTCGTACTAAAGCTGAGGCAAAATAAGAGTAAATCTGTTTTGAGGGGCTACTAGGTATAGAGCTGAATGTTATACCATCTCTTAAACTACTGCTTACGCATTATGCTGGGACCCAGGCTTTTGAATATCTCCAAGATGGGGACTCCACAATTTCTCTGGGCAACCTGTTCCAGCGTTCAGTCACACTCACAGTGAAAAAGTGTTTCCTGATGTTCAGAGGGAACTTCCTCTGTGTCAGTTTGTGCCCATTGCCTCTGGTCCTGTCACTTGGCACCACTGAAAAGGGCTTGGCTCCGACCTCTTTGCACCCTCCCTTCAAATATTAATAGACATGGATGAGGTTCCCCGAGCCTTCTCTTCTCCTTGCTGAACAGTTCCAGCTCTCTCAGCCTCTCCTTGTATGTCAGATGCTCCAGTCCCTTAATCATCTTCCTGGCCCTTTGCTGGACTCTTCCAACATGTGCATGTCTCTCTTGTACTGGGGAGCCGAGAACTGGACACAGCACTCCAGGTGTGGCCTCACCAGTGGTGAGTAGAGGGAAAGCATCACCTCCCTTGACCTGCTGTCAGTGCTCTGCCTGATGCAGCCCAGGATGCCATCAGCCTTCTTTGCTGCAAGGGCCCATTGCTGGCTCATGTTCAACCTGGTGTCCACCAGGATCCTCAGGTCCTTTTTTTCAAAGTTGCTTTCCAGCTGGGTGGCCACCTGCATGTACTAGTGCCTGGGGTTGTTCCTCCCCAGGTGCAGGACTTTGCACTGCTCCTTGATGAACTTCATGAGGTTCCTGTCAGCCCATTTCTCCAGCCTGTCCAGGTCCCTCTGGATGGCAGCATGACCCTCTGTTGTATCATTCTTCCCAGTTTGGTGTCACCAGCAAACCTGCAGAGGGTACACTGTCCCATCATCTAGATCATTAATGAAGATGTTAAACAGGACTGGACCCAGTATTGACCCCTGGGGTACATTGCTAGTTACTGGCCTCCAACCAGACTTCGTGACACTGCTCACCCCCCCCCCGGCCCAACCGTTCCACCAGTTTTCAGTCCACCTCACTGTCTGCTTATCCAGCCCATACTTCATCAGCTTCTGTAAGAGGATTTTATAGGAGGCAGTGTTGAAAGCCTTACTGTAGTCTAGGCAGACAATGTCCACTGCTCTCCCCTCATCTACCAAACCAGTCATTTCACTGTAGAAGGTTATCGGGTTGTTTGAGCATGACTTCCCCTTGATGAATCCATGCTGATGACTCCTGATGATTTTCTTCTTGTTCATGTTCCTGGAAATGGTTTCCAGGGTTAGTTGTTTCATCACCTTCCCAGGGATCAAGGTGAGGCTGACCATCTTGTAATTCCCTGGGCCCTCCTTCTTGCCCTTCTTGAAGATAGGAGTGATGCTTGCTTTCCTTCAGTCTTCAGGCACCTCTCACAATTGCCATCACCATTCCAAGATTATTGAGAGTGACCTTATAAAGACATCAGCCAGCTCGGCACTCGTGGGTGCATCCCAGGGCAGAGCAGGGCCCATGGATTTATGTATGTCCAGTTTGCTTAAGTATTCCCTGACCTGATGCTCTTCCACCAAGGGTATATCTTCCTTGCTCCAGCCTTCCCTCTCGTCTTTGGGGCCTGGGACTCCTGAAGGCCAATTTTACTAGTGAAGACTGAGGCAAAGAAGGCATTCAGTACCTCAGCCTTTTCCATGTCCTGTGTCACCAGGTCCCTGCCCCATTCAGCAGCAGGCCCGCATTTTCCCTAGACTTCCTTTTGCCTCCTAGGTGCTTATGGAAGCCCTTCTTGTTGCCTTTGACATCCCTCGCCAGATTCAGTTCCAGTTGGGCTTTGGCTTTCGTAACCTCATCCCTGCATGCTCGGACAGTGTCTCACAGGTTCCCTGTCCCTACTTCCACCTTCTGTATGCTTCCTTTTTGTGTATGAGTTTTGGTCATCCATGCAGACGTCCTGACGTTTTTACCTGACTTACTGCTTGTTGGAATGGACTGCTCTTGAACTTGGAGGGGGTAATCCAGTTTTCTTCAATCCTCCTTCGCTCCAGGACCTTTGAGACTCTTGCAAGCATCATTCATCCCAAGGCTGAGCTCAATGCACTCCAGCTGTTCTGTCACATAAAGGGCAACCCCCCCTCCTTGTCTTCTTGGCCTGACCTTCCTAAAGAGCCCGTATCCCTCCATGGCAGCACTCCAGCCATGGGAGCTATCCCACCACGGCTCCGTGATCCCAAGGTTGTACTCCTGCAACTGCACACTGATCTCTAATTCCTTATGTTTTTGCTGCATGCTGCATACATTAATAAAGATTATTTTAGTGCTCTGAAACACTTGCAGAATAAAAGGGAAGCTGTGATATGAATGAAAGAGTAAAAGTGGATAAATTTAAAAAACACTGGTGTATGTGTGCATATGTGAGAGAGACTGTGACTTTTACTCCATGCTTCTCCTCTTAGGAGGTGGTGATAGCAAGTGCTGTAAGGACACCGATTGGATCTTTCCAAGGATCTCTCTCATCATTGCCAGCCACTAAACTTGGTTCCATTGCAATTAAGGGAGCAATTGACAGAGCAGGTATATGTAAATATTTTTTCTGTGACAAAGAAAGCCTTAAGTGACTCAGAATAGTATCAGTCTGCATCTTTTGTTTTTAAGTTGCTTGGTAAACTAAAGGTTTGGGGTTTTTTTGCTCTTGTGGCACTCTTTAAGTCTTTATCCACAGATGGTATTTGTTTAAAGTTGACTGTTGGACTTTGTTTCAATCTGAATTAAGTGCTGCTTCTAGGAACAGATCATTACTTAGGGATATCTGTGCTAGTCCAAATCCGATTGAACATGCTAATTGTTTGTCTGGGGTGGGGTTTTACAACACACCTAAGCTGATGCAAAGGCTACTTACTGCTGAAACCAGTGGCTCTTCCTTTCCCTGCCCATTTTTTACATGGGCACTTATGCTTGTAGGACACCCTTGTGAGTCTATTCATAGATTTAAATCAGCAAAAAAGTCTTTTTGGGGAGAGATGAGGGTTAATTTTCTCCAAGTTTGGCTTCTTGAAACAGCATATTACAAGAACTTGAACACCAGGCTTCTTGAAACAGCATATTACAAGATTTGCAGCAGGAGAGCAGGCCTCTTCTGTCTGGTGGCAGCTAGCTGTGGCCTTGGCTCATCCCTGTCAAACCAACAAACAAAACTGTTTCTTTGGACATAATTATGGCAGATAGAAAGTTGTGTGCATTTAACCATCAGTGTAAACTGAGCTGCTCAGATGACTAGTGAGGCTTGGAAATGTTTGCTTTAGCTACCTTGTTCTGCAGGGTAACAAGGGAATTCTGTTCTGTGGGGGTCACCAGTTTGCCATGTTCCATGAATATGAGAGTAGAGATCTGGGATGCACCCAACAGAGGCCTGTATGCTGCTTTTAGCACACAGGTTGGGCATGACACGTTTCATCAGTCCTTGGTAGAAAACTTCAATGGGAAGGTTCGTACAAGGGAGTTACGTCTTCCGTGCAAAGAATCCTGAATTGAAACAATTTTGTTTTATAGGTATCCCTGCAGAAGAAGTGAAAGAAGCGTATATGGGTAATGTCTTGCAGGCTGGTCAAGGACAAGCTCCAGCAAGACAAGCGGTCCTGGGTGCAGGTATTCATTCTCTTGATACTGGGGTTAAAGGTTTTCTGTCTTTATGTAGGCAGTGTAGATTATTGAGCTATGAGTTAAAGCAGAGTGGTGCCCAGCCTTTTGTCAAGACAGTCTGTGTAGGCTTTTTTCCCTGTGGTGGGTGAAGGGTCCATGTTGTACACATGTAAGTGAGCCTAATTGTGCATCCTCAGGAATCAATTGTCGTATGCACAATGGATGTTGCTGCCTACGGTGTTTGCAGAACCTGGAGAAGATGATATTGGAGACCAGGCTGCTACTTACAGAGCACTTTACACTAATGATGGATGCCGCTTTTTGAATCTTTCATAAACAGACCTTTTTTCTTCAGTGTATCATTACTCTTAAGCCTTATTGGATAAGGGGTCACTGAGTTTCCTTGAACTGCAGATCAGAGTATGTCATTACACCTACCTTCTCGTGGAGTGTGGAGCTGTCACTGGAAGAATTTACTCTATAATGTTAACTGCAGCATGAACGTTATTGGGGTGCAGGAATTATTTTCTTCTCCCTTTTGCTGTGGGGATGGGATTCCATACCTTAGCGTGACTCTAGGAAAGTCCATGGGTCAGGGAAGAACTGGATACTTTCTTGGCTCTGTCCCTGTACTTTTTTGAAAGAGGAGGAACTGCTTCCTTCTCCATGAATATGGCTCTTTTCTTTCCCCTGGCTAGTTTCCCCATCTCACTGCTGGTATGGAGGTGATGTGCTGGTAGCAGAGCCGTAATACTAGAGAGCAAACCTAAGGAAGAGGCAGTGATGCAGGTCTTGAGCCAACTGCACACAGCAGAGCCCAAAGCTATTGTAATGAATACTCAATAACAGTAATAACTCAGTAATAATGACATGTATGAATGACACTGACACCTAGCACTTTTGGTCTTGTTCGGTATGGCGTGTGTTTAGAGTCCCTATACTTCTGGGGCCTGTCTTGTTGCCAGTTGCTAAATTCTACAGCTTGTTTATGCCTTTGCAGTCTTGAATGCTTCTTAGAGGCAGGGATCGGGGTGTCAGGAGGAGGAATAGTACTGGAGTAGCTTCTCTGATCTTCTGTCTCTCTGATTCTTCGCTTGCTTGCTCCCTTATCACAAGTCTGTTGTTGGAAGGGGAGAAAACAGCAAGAGTCTCCAAGAAGGGTAGTAACTAGGGGTGAGGGTAGATAAATTGCCCTGGCAGGATAAATAGTGCAAACTGGACACCCTGGGCCTAGATAAAAATTGGTCCCATATGAAATATTGCTGGGACACCAATAAAGTGTTAGTCTACCCTTTAAATAACAGTTGTTTGTACAACTTCTTTGACTCAGGTCTACCAATCCGCACTCCTACTACAACTGTCAATAAAGTCTGTGCTTCAGGAATGAAATCGATCATGATGGCAGCACAAAGCCTGATGTGTGGGAGTCAGGTATGTGAATTTTATTGCTATTTTACAGAAAATCTAATGATGTAGATCCTGTCCTACTAAAGACTGTGCTCTTTAATTTGGGACTGTGTTTTGTCTTGGGATAATAAAGCTAATTAGCAAGCTTTTGTTTTGCTTATGCAACCTTAATTTTATAGTCACTTAAGTGTGTTTTGGTTTAAAACAGAAAAAAATTGAAGTATTACAGTTAGGAAATTGTCAGATGTATTTTTAGAGCTGAGCAAATAAGGCAGATCTTTTATTTTGGGTGTTTACATCCTGTCCCTACTGCTCTTTCCCCACCCCACCTCCCACCCCACCCCCAAAAAATAATTAAGGGAATTTTCAAGCTTTCAGTTTTGAAAAATTGAGGAAATTTTTATAGACTTAGTTTTTGCTGAAGCACATGTAATCTTTACTTTCAGACACTTTAAACACTTCAATGAGTTAAATATACATATTAAAGCAATGTTGTTTCCAAGTACGTTAAAGATGTTTCAGGCTTTTTTTATTGTTTTAGAAAAAATGGAATTTATTGTTGCTGCATAAGAGTTTTCATTGAAGAGAGCTTGATGGAAGGGAATTGCTCATCTCTGTCAACTGTGTTCTAAGATGCTCTATATGATGGGGAAAATAGTATCACTTAATGGGAGGATGGGAGAATACACCATCTTCAGCAAGCTGTTAAATGCTGTGCAGCAAAGAATATGGGGGAAGTGCGAATGCGAAGACAGACATTTCAATTTTGTTTTTGTTTCCGTACTCAAAGCATGTTGGCAACATCTCCCCTTCTCTGAAGTGAAAATATTGTCAGTTCAATATATATTTTTGGTTTACAAAGTAAGTGGCTCATTAGTGAGAAATGTACTTACTTTTTTTTTTTTTTGTATTTAAGAACAAAAGTAAAATAATTAAGTTTTGTTGTCCCTTCTGTGAAGATAACAGTATAGCTGAGTTAAGCAACTACTTACTGCTTTGGCCTTGTTCTGCAGAGAACGGAACTTTGTCCAGTGCATACTGAAGTCAGTGGAAGTCACTGGACTTTGAACCAGGCCCAGCATGTCTGTGTAAACAGCTACATTTGGATTTAGTAATTTCCATCCAATGACTTCATGAGAGTGGTTGTGCATTTGGTTGGTTTGACAGATTCAGGCCATGAGTTCTGAAGAGAACTGGAGTTTTCAGCTGAACTAATCATACACGCTGTGCGGCCAGTCTAAGCAAAAGCAGAGACTCAGGCAGCTATTAGTTTCTTAGAGCTATAAATTATGGGTTTTTTTGGTATTTGTTTTTCCTGGCTGTGGACTGTGAGGTGTCTGTGGTATGAAAGTCAGTGATGGTTCCCAGTGGCTTGAGTCAGCATACATCATCGTATAAACAATTGTATTAACTCTGTCTCGAAGTCTTTCACTTTATGGAATTGAAATGCCAGGGACTTTGTTCCTCTGATCTATTGCTGCTTCCATATCTCAACTGCCTTTCCGATTTATCTGCCTTTCCAGTTTGTCTCCAGCCTTCTTTCTTTTCTTTATTACTTCATGTCACTGTTCCTGGATCTAGTTTGTAATCTATCCTGAACCAAACCATTATTTTTCTGAGTCTTAATTTAAAGAAACCAAAAGCTTTCATCTTTTTCTTATGGCTGTTTTGATGTAAAATCTTTTTGAATTTATATTAACAGCACTATTGAACTCTCAAAGACTCACACTGCTGTGTGTGTATTTTTCTTACATTTATCCATATTCCAAATGTGCCATTAAGCACAACTGTGTCTATTCTTCATATCCTGAGATCCTAGGGATTTTGGGGGTATAGCCTGATGAACAGTAGGTATACTTATGGTCCTTATAGCTTTGTTGTTTGTAGGTTTTCTGTTTGTTGCTTTGTCTTATATTGAAAAGTATACTAATTCATAAATGCCCATAATGATTCAGCTTAATTCAAGTTCAGTAATCATTAATTATTAACAGCTCTTTTTTTGCTGGCCTTTTCAAATGATAAAACTGTATTATAAGTCTTCTCTCTTTAGGTAGTAAGGTGAAACAATATTATGTAAAACTGCAGGTACTCTGTCTCTTCTTATTGGTCTCTTAGATTCTGACTGTTGCTTGTTCCATAGGGATATGGAGCTGTGAATGAAGAACAAAAATGAGAAATATACAGAAAAAGAAACTGTTTAAAGTAAAATTTATAATTTGATCTGGGAAGCTTTTGAAGTAAAAGTGCAAGAGACTGACATGGCTCTTGCAGCTTTCTGAAACTGCACGCAAGACAAAGTCCAGCTGTTCTGTCAGGATGGATTAACTGTCTTCAGCTGTTGTTCCTGCTGTTTGCTTTTTAAATGCATACATTTTTTTTTCTCTTTCTCTAAGGCTCCACAGAAATATAAAACGTCCATGCTTAAGCTTTTGGTAATATTTGTTCCTACAAGAAGTCATAGAGAACACACTGCATTATTAATAATTTTAACTTGTTTCCTTTGAGCAGGATGTAATGGTTGCTGGT